AACACTGATGATAGCTGAATACATTTCGACGGATATTTATAATTATCAGGTCGTGCGTTGTTTGTGGTAAAACTGACCCGTCAGTGTCGAAGGTCTTGCACGATGAATTGAGAAAGTTGATATTCATAAGACGATCAGTTATGGTACCGAAAGGAGCCCGATGTTGTGGTGATCATATGAATGGAAATACTGACTGGTGTGGTCGAAACATTTTCAAAATGAATTTCAACATCTTTGGGTTTTCGGGAAATTGGGGTTTCTCAAAAACTTGAAAAATTCGTATCTTTTCAAGAAAGCACCATGGGCCCGAAGCAAGTTGGGCTAGTTCACAGCTATCTATGGGCTATCTAACAAAAATAGTCTCACTCGAAAAGCGACTGAACACCTCAAGAGGTTCCCTCGTTAGTACAGATATACTGTATATTAGCCAAGTATAAGACAACAGGAAATGTATAACACAAACAAGCAGAGCAGTCCTTTACTCAATACTTTCGGGACAAACAAAACATTATACTCTTCTCTATAATATACTGTTCGATAGCGCTTGAAACTCTCCACAAACTGACCTGGACACAGAACGGCGTCACCATCACTGGAGGCCAAAACAAAGCAATGCAATGCGTCTAACTAATTCTCCTACCTTTCAGTTCTCTATGTGGATGATGATCAAAGTGTCTTGATCGCTGACAACGAGAATCACCGTATTGTGGAATGGAAGCCTAATGTCATGAGTGGTCAAGTAGTGGCCGGTGGCAATGGCCAAGGAAATCGAACTGATCAATTGGATCGACTATCAGATGTGATTGTCGACCAAGAGACAGACAGTCTGATCATCTGCGATTTTGGAAACCGACGAATGCTGCGATGGTCTCGTCGAAGTCGAACAAGTGAGAAACCATCACCGAGAATATCCAAGTTAATAGAAGCGGAAGGCACTGGAACTTTTTGAAATTAATACAGACTAATTTAAAAAAGTCGCATCTTAAATTCGCGCATATTAACTCAACTTGATAAATTAACTCAAATTAATATGAACTACTCGAAATTAATTGGGTTTGACTTAATTTATCAATTGAATTAGTTTGCGCAAATATAATATGCGACTTTTTTAAATTAGTTTGCATTAATTTGCAAAAGTTCCAATCGGAAGTCTATAGAATTCTAATTCTTGCATAGCACAGATATACTATATATTAGCCAAGTGAAAGGCCAGCGGAAATATATCAAATACGGGCGCTTGGCTACTTGTCGTTACAGAGAAAATCGTCTGACAAGGGGATTTTCGCCCAAAACTGGAACAGTCAGCCTTGATGCAGCAACCTTATCTTAAAAACTGATAAAGCACATTTTCTAGATCACAAATCCTTCACAGCACGTGAAGAATGACCTTTCCGATTTTGATCTATTTTTTTCAACCTTGAGTATTTTTTCATATTGGGACTTAAATTAGCAACTTTGAGTTTTTATTTAACATAAGAAAACAGAACAGTCAACGAAAATAAGAATGATTTACACACGCAAAAATCTATCTGACAACTGGGACTAGCGGAATATACATCAATACATGAACTTGTCCATAACAGTTATTATATTTAGTTATAGTGTTCATCGATATCGATTTGTTTATCCGAAACATTCAATAAGTCACGCCCACCATGTTCGTCATCTTCACAAGTTAAAAATTTTTCAGTTTTTGAAAAAGCTGGACGTTGATAATGTAAATAATTGGCAATTTCGTTAACTGTTACATCTGCTGGCGGAAATAATTTCTCACGTAATTTATTTTTATTAACAAATATCATAGTGTCATTTATTTGTATCGTACATAAATTTCTTAAAAAGTGGCCGACGGTGAATCGTTTTGTTCTATTGGTTTTATATGTAAAGTTGTATCTGTTAATAATCCAACATCATAAGCTGTTCTAATCGTCCACATATATTGATCGTATGGAAAGTTTCTCATTAAATGATTAATGTCAAAGTTTTTGTCTGGTGTCATCGGTAGTGGAAACAACGATAAATTTGAACCACTGTCAATTAAAACACATTCAATTTGAACACCACCAAATACATTATCACAACTTGGTATTAGAAAACGGCCATGGTAATTTCTTACCTCAAAGCCTTCAACATTTTTGTTGATTAAACATATATTTAAACGAAGCTTAGAATCCGTAACTGTTGTGCTACTAGTCATCATGCTAGTGCGTTGATAATTACAACGAAATTCTTCTGAAATAAACAACAAACCAGTCTTCAAATAGCATCAATGTACATATTGCCCAAGAAAATTCAATCATAATGAGCAAGCAGCACAACACACATCATTCAGTCTGTTTATTACATTACAATGTGACAAAACCCAACGTAAGGCGTTCCGTTAATGATAGGAAATTCTATCTCCAATACGGGATAATGAAACAAAAAAATTGATAAACAGATGGTAATGTTAACGATAGGGGTGGCACTTTACCGTTTCTTTACAGGTAACGCAGTAACGCATGCGTTATTGCGTTACTGGTAACGAGTAACGCATACGTTATTGCGTTACTGCATGCGTTACTCGTTACCAGTAACTACTAACGAGATGCGTTTATTTTTCATAGCTTTTGTAACGAGTAACGCAGCGTTATTTGCGTTACTTTAACGCTTTTTTGCGTTACTTTTCTAGTAACGCAATAACGCATGCGTTACTCGTTACCAGTAACGCATAATATAGTAACGCTTTAGTCGCATTGTGTCCGGAAGGTGATAAAACAATACATTTTCGGTTGTTCGTCACTCATACGGTGATATTTGAAAGCGTTGCTTTACTCAGTAAAGTAACGCATCAGTAAAGAAAATGTGCCACCCCTAGTTAACGATAATCTACAGTAGAGTTGTCAATAAGGATTCGAAGTACAGACATGTTCTGCTGCAGAAATTTTACAATTGTAGCAGTACCTAAGGCAACTTTTTTTCTCTAAATATATATTTTTTTTTGGGTAGTTCTATTACCACTCACAGAGAGTGGCAGCAGTGGCTCTTGCCATTTTCATAGAGTGGCAATAATGTCTATTGTCACTTCTCTATTAAATTACTGAAAAATGAGTGTATAGTGAAAGAACCATTACTCTCATCGAATTTCCCGTGAAGATTAAATAATATTTCTTGAAATCAATAGATGTCAGGCGTTACCGGATGTTCTGAAGCCTGTAGAGACGCTCTCATGGCAATGAAAGAACTCGTAGTAGGGCAGAAGCGGCGGTTTTCTGAAGAAAAAGGTGCACTCTGCAATTACTCAATATCAGTTGTAATATATGGCGACAAAGCCTATGTATTTTGATGCATTTTTTGTAAAGATTTCAAATGACCCATCATCCGAAATATGCGAAGTACTTCATAAAGTTCAAAATGTCATATTACAACGACCAAAGACCTTAGAATCACGCACACATTAATTAAAAGCCGTAACGAACAAATGTTTGATGAAATTTTTGATTATTTGATAGATACAATATCTTCAAAACACTCGAGAAAGAAAAAAATGATTAACTGGTTACAATTTTGTAAAAAACTATATCCTGTGCAACCGCGCGGTACGAATTTTTAGTATATAAAGTATTTTGTATTATGTAAACTTATCTAACCTATTTTGGACGATGGTAATTGTTTGCTACATGCATGCTGTATTTATTTATGCGGTCTACACGATCATCAATTCATTCTTCGCCATGAATTAATAAATTTTCGCATCTAATGAATATTCATTGAGACATTGATGGACAACAAAAATGAGAAACGCTTTATCAATTATTCATTTTCATCCAGATGAAATAACATTGGATAACGTATTAACTTAAAATTTCTTTTACCGCCGATCGTCTAGTATTTTTGACAGTTTTAGAGAGAAAGGAGGAACTTGGAGTTATTTGCTAACTTATAGATAAAAATTGCATTCAGATCTAATCTAAACAGGTTTATTTCCACTTTTTAGGAATGGAAACACATCATTGACACACTGACTGAGAATAGGATAATTAGTTAAGGGATCGGTCATGGACACTGCTTTCTTGCTCTGTGTCGCGCTGTTATTCATCCTAAAACACACAACAAAATTTTCACTTAGTCCTCATCAGTGAAGCATGTTTGAACACGAAATTTTCGAACACTGAAAGCATGTTTACGTCGACAGTTAGAACCAACGTTTGTCCGTATAAGATTACCACGTCAGTACGAGTGCTATATATACACATGCTTTTTCTTATTCTATTTCACTTAGTTCTTATTCATAGCTAATTTATCAACTTATTTAAACTCAGTGTAAAATGAGTGTTTAAGTATGGCAGTCAATCGAAAAAAGTAGTGCAGTACTCCAGTGAAACCCGCAAAAGGAACTAACTGCATGCTAGTTGCAAGCTGTATCGTGAAACCATTAATGATTAGAAGCCTCCAGGCACATACGATAGACCAAGATATTTGTGATGAAGATCTGTTAGAAATATTGCAGGATGATGGAGCTCTCGAGAGCTCCTTAGACGGTCACCTATGTCGGCTAAGTGGATAAATCTCTATCAGAAATTCAAACTAATGTTTTAACCTGAAATCTCGCTGGCCATTTGAGGCTCTAGTCTCAGGTCGGTTCTCCGAACGGGGTTTCGTTCCGTTCGTCTCGAATTACGGCTTAGATCACGAAATATTCGCTTAACTAGGGAAAAGAAAAGAAGAAAAGTGCCTCAATTTAGGTACCCTTCATTCACTTTGTCTGTCCGCATACCATTTCTTACTGTCTCTCTTCATTGTTGGTGTGAGAATGTTTGATCATTGTTCTAGTGTTCGGGAAGTTGCCATCTGTGCCAATGGTACCTTTGTCTCTTGTCAAGGTTAACCTTCGTCTTGTCGTCTGTGCATTCCTCACGATAACGACAAGAAGCCATTTTACATACATCGTTATGTCCTCTTTCACGGACATGTTTGTACCTGTTCATTCATTACACAAGGTTGACATATGTTTGGTGATGAGTATTGCTCTAGCACCGGCAGACAAATTCTGGACGAAACGAGTTGATTATCATCAGAGTCGTCGTACAATGCTCAAATTTCTTCTATCCATTCGTTCGTCACGTGATAATCGGCAATTACTCGATTGGATCGATGAATGTGCACCATCATCACAAATAAACTGGAATGTCGTTGAAAAACACTATATTCAATTGCAGAATATAATCGAACCGTATCAAGTATTACACAATGCCAACAATTTGGGTATCTATTGGGAGATGAAGATTAAAAATGTGGCGAATATAGTGGCTAGTCAACCTCGTCCATATCTTGTTCGATATCGTAACAGCGGATTTCGACCGGATGAGCTTAAAATCTATTGGAATTATAAACAGATTCGAGATATAATCAAAGATAGTTCATACAATCCAGTAACCGATATCGATGCCAGAAAAGCTCTCATCAAAGTACCTCTACAATTCAGATGGCTATCGCGCACTACTCGATCTAAAATATACAATGATGGATGGCGGATTTATGTTACCTGAATTCGGTGTCGCTTATATCAAACGAGTGCGTTTCTTTCTCGATGGCAAAGAAGAGCGAATCACTGATCTAATTGTGGCTGCTTGTAAGTATGCTCGTATATGGTAGAGATGTCCTGCTATCGCTTATGATATTTTTCTTCAATAATTATCAGTCTTCAAATTCCTAAACATTATTAAGGAAAATAAGAATATATATTTGAGTAAAAGGGACAATTTTTATTCACTCTACATCTGTGCTTGTGGTAAGTACGCGTTTGTTCTCGATCAGCCAACGAAAAACGTATCATGTCTTACGAGGAAACCACTCGAACTGTCCGATCGCTATTTCACGAAACCTAGTGGACAATAGGTAATCAAGTGTGCTGACTAGTATAGGTGCGGTACCCGAAAAAAGTATTGAAATATATACTTCAAACTGTCCTCTACAAACTCGTGGGAAAAAATGAGCGCCCCCTCCCTCCTTAAGCAAAATTTTCGCAATATAATCTATGAGAAACGGTTGAAAGCCTAAAAGGTTATCGACAAATACGTTTTCACTCATCAAAGTGGTGTATTATACGATGCAAAAGACATGGAAAAAATGTCGAGCATTTGTTCCTGATGCGCTGGCGATTTAATTGTTTTTCCGTTAGAAAGAGCAAAGTCTGAAATCAAAGAACATAGACACTTTTCAAAGAACACTTTTTTGGTGCATCCCGATTTTCATACTTGGAAAGTATAAACTTCTGAGGATCTTTACTTTTCATGATCTGGAACAGGAAACAGTGCAATCAAGTATGAAATATTTAATATAGTTTTCTAGAGAATTGCATGGCAAATCTTTTAAGAAACAAGCTGAAACTTGAACCATAACAATTGAGCGAGATATCAACAAAATACCCTCGTATGGAAGTATTTTTTTTGAAGACCGAAGACTGTACAGCATTCATCGATTTTTGGAAAGCTATCAATAGATTTTTGAGACTACACAAAGTACAACACACGAATCAGAGTTAACTCAAGAAGCGACATGTGCGTCTTGAAGTCAGAGAAATAAACATGTTGCGATAGAATAAGCAAAAATATCTGAGAAAAACGTTTTAGGATGCCAGGGACTGTGCTCTATAAGTGAACAAACTATTAATCAACTTCACTCTTGCAAAAGGACAGTCTGAAGTGTAACGTAAACTTTTCAAGTGTTTGCGCTAAGGATATACAGCATTTAAAAACTAAGTAGCACAGCCGACGAATATTTGATTTAATTTAAAATTAACATTTCAAGTTCATATAAGCTTTATTCTGTCAAGATACAAGCGGAAGAATATTCCATTATAGTATTCTAAACTAAAACTATCGAAAACCACAAAATCAATTTTTGTACGAATAGAGATTCGAAAATGTGAACCTAGCTTTGTAGTACACTACAAAACTAAATTCACTGTTCTGTATCTATATTCTGTACAACAATTGAAGTTGTGCAATCGACTCGATGTTAGCAGTAGTCATTTTTTTTTATATGTTTTTTTGTGTTTTGTTTCATATAAGCTTTATTCTGTCAGAATACAAGCGGAAGAATATTCTATTTCAAGTTATTAATCCAATTCTGCAATATACTTTTCTACCGAATGTTTTTTGAAGAAGTCAAAACCGGGAAACGGATAATAGAAAAACATTGCAGAAACGTCTTTTCCACATTCTAATAGAATCCATCCGATGAACGAATTTGAATTCACAAATATTCAAAAAAGACGACCAGCACTGTCAATCAAGAAAACAGATTTTATTAGACAATGATTCATGGATATTTCGAAAAATCGTTTTTGAATAGTCTGGTTGGACCCCAAAAATGATACGTGTATTTAGATAGATTGAAATGTATTGTTTTAGCTTTTAAGCAAAATATAAGTGTAATGCACTCCGTTTGTGACATGGCATCTGTGAGATTCCACTGTAATCCACTGCTGTCCCAATCGCCAGTTTTCGTTAGTGCCCATGTGCGACCGTTTCGACTTACACCTCCAACGGGGCCGGCTTCAATAACAGCATAGTTCTTGGCGTCTTCGAAAACGTTTAAAAACAAATGGCGGAATCCCATTGAGTAAAGGAATCGATCGTCCAAAAACAGGGGGTCTGTAAATGTTGGACGAGCGCCTAATACAACAGTACAGGACGAAAGATGAGAAGGTGGCGTCCAGTCAGTCTTCTTTCTCTCAGAGAACAGATCAGCAAACAAGAACCGACCACTGTTAGTCTTCGAATTCGGCAGTCGAAGATCCGCGAAGTTTATCTGGTAGCCGGCAAGTACTGCAAGAACAACAGGGAGTGTAACTGACCATTGCATATTGTAGCCAACTTAATTTAACTGCAGTAGGAGAAAATCCTCGTTAAGTTAAACTTAATGAATCATTAAAGAAATATCCATGAATCATTGTCTAATAAAATCAAAAAACACTTCAAAAAACATTCAATAGAAAAGTATATTGCAGAATTTGATTAATAACTTGAAATGCACTTGCACTGTTGTGCAAGTTCTATTGAATGTTTTTTGAAGTGTTCGCTGATTTTATTAGACAATGATTCATGGATATTTCGAAAAATCTTTGTGGAATAGTCTCGTTGGACCCCAAAAATGATACGCGTATTTAGATAGATTGAGATCTAAATACTACTACTTGCGTACCTTTTTAGTACGCAAGACGAAGTAAAGTGACAGTTGCACAGTCTTCGGTCTTCAAAAAAAGTACTACAAAACGAGCGTCTGAATCCCATAGAGTAAAGCAATCGATCGTCAAAAACGTGTGTACTTGCACTGTTGTGCAAGTGTTATAATAACTTGTAGTACAACAATGCACTTTTTCTTGTTACTACAGAATTGATGTGGTAGATTCGGCAGTCGAAGACCCGCGAAGTTTATCTGGTAGCCGGCAAGTACTGGAATAACATCAGGGACTGTAACTGACTAACAACTTTGTTGTACTCGTGTGTTTCTGCTCAGAATTTGTTAATAAACTAAAATGCGAGGGCTTTTTTCTTAATACAAGCTGATTCTTACCATATATCGAGTATTTTCAGTGACGAAGGTCATCGCTTAAACAACGTTGTTGAGAATCGCAGTTAATCCTACTTCCTTTTTAGTACGGAAGACGAAATAAAGTGACAGCTCGTGGAAATAACCTGATGTTTCCAGTGGCACAGACATATGAGTTAAGCGGGCACTCGAGCAGAGCTTTTTGTTATTCTTAAAAGAAATGAAAATCGAGTGCTATCTCACAAACAGTGCTATCTCAGAAAATGCTAGTCTTTGCTGTTTCAGATTAAAAGAAAAAAAAAGTTTAACTTAACGAGGATTTTCTCCTACTGCAGTTAAATTAAGTTGGCTACAATATGCAATGGTCAGTTACACTCCCTGTTGTTATTGCAGTACTTGCCGGCTACCAGGTAAACTTCGCGGGTCTTCGACTGCCGAATTTGCGACATCAATTCTGTAGTAACAAGAAAAAGCGCATTGTTGTACTACAATTTATTATAAGACTTGCACAACAGTGCAAGTGCACTCGTTTTTGACGATCGATTGCTTTACTCAATGGAATTCAGACGCTCGTTTTGAAGTACTTTTTTTGAAGACCGAAGACTGTGCAACTGTCACTTTACTTCGTCTTGCGTATTAAAAAGGAAGTTGGATTAACTGCCATTTTCAACAACATTAAAAATCTCTGTCGGTAGAGTCCCGACAAAATTCCGCCTTCATATAAATATATACCTTCTTTGCAGTTAAAGTGAAGAGCACAAGCAAGGATGACAGTAAGGCACGCTTTGATGAAACAACAATGCACTTTTCAAGTAACGGTACAGAGGATGAAGTGAGTTGCTAAGTTATGTAAGAGATAGCTTTTTCCTTTTTCTCTGCGCATAATAGAAAAAAGCAAGTGTTAATGTTGCGCGTTTTAGTAGTACTATTTAGATCTCAATTTATCTAAATACGCGTATCATTTTTGGGGTCCAACGAGACTATTCCACAAAGATTTTTCGAAATATCCATGAATCATTGTCTAATAAAATCAGCAAACACTTCAAAAAACATTCAATAGAACTTGCACAACAGTGCAAGTGCATTTCAAGTTATTAATCAAATTCTGCAATATACTTTTCTATTGAATGTTTTTTGAAGTGTTTTTTGATTTTATTATTCGATATAAATATTGTTCAGTCCGTTTCTGTCTGCATTTACTTCGTTCGTATCAGTGAATAAACGAGTCCATCCTAGACATATAAGTAAGTTAAGTCTGTACAAAGAAATGACTATACACTACTATTCGTAAGACAATAATATTCATTATCGTTTTAAGGACACAATATGATGATGTTTTCGTATTATTTTACTGTTATTTTACTGTTATTCTCCGGTATTCGTTTCAACCTGCCGTTGGCAAGTGCCAGTAACAATCGAGGCACTTGTAGCGGCGGCAGTAGTGGTACTAGTGGTAGTAGTGCTCAAACTGAATCAAGCTGTGGTGATGGCTGTGGATGCCAGTGTTCCGGTGGCGATAATCCATTTACCTGCTTGGGTGGTTCCTGTACTGACAGCAGTTGTTTAAGTCGCTGCATTACAGCGAAAACTTGTAGTTCAGGTCAAACGGTGAAAGGACAGTGTCAGCAGACTGGCACAGCAAAACTACTCGGAAAATGAAAGGAAATATCGTATAGAGTTCAGGAAGAACATGACTCAGACTTTACTAAAACTGACTAACAACTTTATTGTATTCGTGTATTTCTGCTCGGAACTTGTAAATAAACTAAAATGCGAGGGCTTTTTTCTTAATACAAGCTGATTCTTACCATATATCGAGTATTTTCAGTGACGAAGGTCATCGCTTAAACAACGTTGTTGAGAATCGCAGTTAATCCTACTTCCTTTTTAGTACGGAAGACGAAATAAAGTGACAGCTCGTGGAAATAACCTGATGTTTCCAGTGGCACAGACATATGAGTTAAGCGGGCACTCGAGCAGAGCTTTTTGTTAT